TAGAAGGGGTCAATGGGGGAGAAAAAGAGGACATCTGTAATACTTTCAAAAATAAAGATAAATTTAAAAAAAAAGTGGTACAGTGACCCACCCAGAACACATCACCCAGGTTTAACTCTCGGCCAGTCTCCTTCCATCTACGCTTCCCTGTCTTCTGTGCCTCCCAGGCATCATTTATCATCTACACAGACTTCATGCATGTGTATAAGAGGCAAGGGCTCTTTCAAAAAACAACCACAACACTATTATTATATTTAAAAATTTAACAATTAATTCCTTAATATCATCAAATATCTAATTCCCGTTTGAATTTCCAAGTGTCTCAAACACGTTGTACAATTTTGAAAGTAATTTGTTTGAATCAGGATTTAAATTAGGCCTGTACAATACAATTAGCTAGTATTGGTTATATATCACTTAAGTTATTTTTAATTTGTAAGTGGCCTCTCCATCTCCTTTCTCCTTGCAATTTATTTGTTGAAGACACTGCATTATGGGTTCCATGGAGTTTCCCCCAGTATGGACTTTCCTGGTTGCATTCCCCGTGGTGCAGTTTCACACACTCCTCTCTCCTGCAGATAGAAATTTACCTCTAGGAGTTTGGTCAGGTTCCGATTTCTTTCCTTTATTTTTTTGGCAAGATGACTTCATAGGCAGGATCGTGTACTCCTGTAGGAGGTTCATGATGTCTGGCTGTCCCTCTTTTTGTAATTAACACAGCCATTGATCTTAATGCCTGGACCCATTCATTCATTAGGGATCCTGAAATGGCGATATTTGAATTCTAACGTTCCTTCATTTGATAATGAGGTTGTGGTTGTGGTTGTGCTTTTAAAAAGGATCCTATGTTTCAGCTGGAGTGCTTCTGTATAGGGAAATTTCTTGCCATCCACTATTTGGTTAAACTTAGGCACTTACATGGTGTCCTTCATTCTACATCTTTAATTCTGGGCCCTGTAGTTTGCCTTGATGTGTTGACCTGTGGGTCCGATGATGTGTGGTTAATGGGCATTTGTTATTAATATTGTCGTAGCCATTGTTGTCGTTGCCATTCCTGTCGCATTGTTTATGAGCCGGGCAGTGCTTTCCCTGAGATAATATCTGCAGAGTACTGGGATAGGTGCAGCTCCTGCTCCCTGGGGACTCTGCACGTCAGCAGGGTGTCAGCCACGAAGACAAACTCATTAAAGCCCACGAACCTGCCTGTAGCCCACTCCTGCTAATTAATTTCCTTATAGCTAGAGAGAGGAAGACAGAGTGCCATGGGGAAATCTTGCCAAGCATGTGAAATTAGAGGTTACGGGCAGACATGGGCAAGGTGGATTACTTGACGCAGCTGGAGGAATGTATAAGAGAAACACACTAAAAAAATTTCAAGGTTGGGAACCCACACATAGGAAAGCTTGGGGTGGGGGTGGCACCAAGAGGCACATGAGGAGCTGTCTCCCTCTCCAGGTGCTATCGTACCTGACTTTACTTGCGAGGACACTGAGGCAGAGGTAGGTTACGTGAATCACCTGTGACATCCTGGGGTCCCTCAGTCAGCATCACCTGTCAGCTGCCCCCTCCCCACATTTACCCTGCTGGTGACACAGCAGCCTGGCAAAAGAGGTGGAGCGGTCCCCCAATAAGTAGCTAGCTGTTTGGTGATGCTTCTTGCGTTTCCTCCCTGTGTCAAGAGACAGCCTGTAAGGTGCCAAGAGGAGGCAGCCTGGGTTCTAGAGCCTGTTCTGTCACTTCACCTGAGCAAGGACAGGGGTGTTCTGGCCGGGCTCCAGGTCGCTCCTGCCTCTTCATGTTTGTGAAATGTCCCAGGGCAGAGGGAGGGACAGGCAAGAGCAGGAGAGGGGACGGGGAGGCTTGCAGGGGGAGCGCGGCAGGGACAGCTGGAAGCCCCAGAGCCTGCAGAGGCCCCCCTCACTATGATGCCAGGCGAGACTTCTCCGAAGGTGGTGGGTGCCCCCGGCAGTGCCCCCAGGTGGTGCCTGTCTTGCCAGGGCCAGTCCAGGGCTTCAGGTGGAGAGGCAGCAGCAAGGCCTCGCCCAGGTGGAGGTCAGAGCAGATGTGCAGCCCTTGCTCTGGTCCTGATCTACCCCTTTGGACAGGCACCTGGCCCAGAACCCTTTCATCTGCGACTGTAACCTCAAGTGGCTGGCGGACTTCCTGCGCACCAACCCCATCGAGACGAGCGGAGCCCGCTGCGCCAGCCCCGGGCGCCTGGCCAACAAGCGCATCGGGCAGATCAAGAGCAAGAAGTTCCGGTGCTCAGGTAGTGCCTGCCCACCTGACTGTCGTCAGTCCGCTCAGGGACCCTGGTGTGTCCTGGACGGCTCCAGCAAGGTTGTCCCAGGGCGTTGGCCCCAAACTGTGGACTTGGGACTGCATGGTGTTCACTCCCACCCCTCATTTTCCTGAAGCCTGGGGAGGGGTGGGCTTGCTGAGGTCCTGAGAGAAGACCCAGACAAGGACCCAGGTCCTCTACTCCCAGGCCAGTTCTCCTTCATGCCACCACTTTCAGCCTGTTAAGGCGCTCAGGGGGCCTGGGACCCCTCCTCTGTGAGATAGTTGCCTCCTCCGGGCCTGGAGGCAGCAGAAACAGCATCTGGCCAGGGACAGTGTGGGTCAGCTTCTGAGCCTGGATCCTGGTTGTAGGCCTGATGTCCCCCCCCGGCCCCATCCCCATCTTGTGCTAGTGCACGTGAGAGTTCCCACGGCTTTCATGTTCCCCAAGAACTTTAATTGGGCGTGGTGCTATCCCCAAGGTTGGCCTGGGTAAGGAGGGCCTTCTCCACATGGGCTGGGCAGGTGGGCTCTGGGGCTCTCATCTGGGACCCCAGCCTCGTTCCTGGGCAGTGGGGCTGGGACCTGGGCTCTTCCTGCAAGCCCTGGACAATCTCACCAGCATCATGGTATTTCTGTTTCTTTTTGCAGCCAAAGAGCAGTACTTCATTCCAGGTAGGAGAGTGGGGAGACCAAGGGCGGTCTGGGTGGGACAGTGGCAGTGGGTGGGCAGGGGGCTAAGGCAGCAGGCTGAGGGGGCCTGGGAGACCCTAGGCTGGGCAAGCCTGCTTGGAGCCTGCCCCAGGCCCCTCAGCCCCAGCCCCTGCAATCTTGCTGCAGGCACGGAGGATTATCAGCTGAACAGTGAATGCAACAGCGACGTGGTCTGTCCCCACAAGTGCCGCTGTGAGGCCAGCGTGGTGGAGTGCTCCGGCCTGAAGCTCACCAAGATCCCTGAGCGCATCCCCCAGTCCACGGCCGAGCTGTGAGGCCCCAGCCCCTCCACACCCCTCACTTGCTCCCTGCTCCTACTACCCTCCCTGGGCCTGCTTCAGGTTTTCCTCTGGTGGGGTTCTGTTTGGGGACCACTGGAGACTCCAGCATGGCAGCTGCTGGCTTTGCAAGAAGCAGCCCCTGTGACCCCTTTGTTTCTGACTCATAGCCCTACTCACTCTTGAAACAATATCTAGCAGCTAGGGCAGGTCACCAGCCTGAGCCAGGGGTGCCTTTTCTCAATCATGCTTTTGCCATTTTGGGGGAACACGATTTCATTAGCTCAAGTTGGGGCTTAAGCTATTCTTTTACTATTTCTTTTCTCTATCTAAACATAAATTGGTGCACATATATATGCATGTGCATGGGTAACTACACACGTCATTTATGTATATAAATTTTCATAGCACTTTTAATGTTAAAAATATCCCCATTCACAGCTCCCCCTCCTCCCAGCTCCAGCACTCCAACCAGCCTTCCTTTGAAATAGGGTCAATTTGCTTTGCCAGATAAATTCTTCTGGGAGTCCCCTTTGTCCCCAAATATTCAGTTTGAAAGATACTTCAATGTCATTTATGGATGTGTAAATTCTCTTGATTGTCTCTTACAGACGATTAAACAACAATGAGATTTCCATCCTGGAGGCCACTGGCATGTTTAAAAAGCTCACCCATCTGAAGAAAATGTGAGTTACCCATTGGTGGGAAGGCTGCAGTCAGGACGCTGGCCGGGAATGGAGAGGGAAGATTCTGGGTGGTGGTGGTGGGAGAGCTCCTATGGGAGGCAGGACTCCCGTGCACAGGGATTGGGTACAGGAAGGGGGTCCTGAGCCTCAGCATCCTCCCACCACCTCTGCTCCCAGCAACCTGAGCAACAACAAGGTGTCAGAAATCGAAGACGGGGCCTTCGAGGGCGCTGCCTCTGTGAGCGAGCTGCACCTGACCGCCAACCAGCTGGAGTCCATCCGGAGTGGCATGTTCCGTGGCCTGGACGGCTTGCGGACCCTGTGAGTGTGTGGGCTGCGGAGCAGGGTGGATGGTGGGACTTCGGTAGGTAAAGCCAGAGTGTGGGTGTCCACATTAAAGGGAAAGGAAGAGAGGGTGGGAGATCCCCTCTCCCTGGCCCCAGCTTGCAGGAGGAGGGGACAGCTGAGGACCCTGACTGCAGTGGGCCCAGTAATCAGATGTTGGTAACTGTGGTGAGGCCTGTTTTCTTGTTCCCTAGGGTGAAGGGGTGGCGGGAGGCGGGCTCCGGGAGGTCCCCTCTCACGGCCCTGTGACCAGGCTGCAGGAGCGCAGCAGATGCGTTCAGTTAGGAGCAGCTGGCATGACTGCGGGCAGGAGAGGCCGGGTGGCCCCGTGGTGAGACATTGCTGAGGTGACTCAGAGGGCGCAGGTGGGGGAGCAGTGGTGGCCCACCGTTTCTGGGATTCTAAGATCCCCTGACCCAGAGCCCAGCCAGAGCTAACCAGACATCAGGACTCAGTAGGATCCTGGGGTCACCTGCCCTCCTTCAGGGTGCAGCGAGCCACTCTGCCTGCTCCTCGGGCGGTCATGTGGACCGTTAGTGTGCCCAGCAGACAGTGCTGTACAGGTTGGACTTCCGACAATGACAGAAATGTCCCATATCTGTGCTGTCCAAGCTCACAGACACCTGTGGCTATGCGTACTTGACATGTGGCTAGTGCGACTGAGGCACTACATTTTGAATTTCATTTCATTTTAATTGATTTAAATCTAAATAGCTACATGTGGCCAGTAGCCACTATGCCCAGCCCTGCAGCAAGGCTATACGTTTTTTCTGAACACACAGGGAATTTGAGTAAGGTCTGTGAATGCGGGAGGGACTCTCTGGGGATTCTTGTTCATTTTACAAAAGGGGATTTTATTATTTGCTGTGTCTTGCAGCCTATTTTTCCCCTTGTAAACATAGGGTGGCCACTTTGCCAGGCTGTTACTCATTCTTGTTTATACTTGCCTCGTATTTCTTGAATGAGGGTGCTGTGGGCCATTCCAGAAGTCTCTTGTGTTCTTTCTGAGGAAGGCTTGGATGGACAGAGGAGGGGGCGGCTGGTGCTGGGACAGAATCAACAAGAGTGGCAGTGCAGGCACAGGAAAAGAAATGCCCGCAGCCCCTCCACCACACAGAAACAGTGTATGTGTGCGTACCTGCATACACATACACGCGCACCAACCTACATGCACGCATGCATACAGGCTTTTCAATGGATCCTATGTGTTTTTTTTTGTAATCTGTTTTTTTCTGAAGCAGTGTGAGTACTTTTACGAATCATTAAAATTTCTTTTACAACACCATTTTTGAATGACGATATATTATTGGAAATTTAGGCTATTTGTGATTTTAAAATTATAAGCAATTTTGTAATTAATACATTTATCATGCAATTCTGTGCCCATCCAGGATAGTCCCTTGTGATAAATTCCTAAGAGCAGACTTGCTGGGCGAGAGCATGAAATGCCCTTTTAGTTCGTCTCACTGATGCCCTTCCAGGGAGGTCCCAGGTCATTCTCCAGCCAACTGGGCATGAAAGTGCCCATTTGCCCACCCCCTTGCTGACCCTGGGCAGCATTATTATTATTATTATTATTATTAT